TGCTGAAAAGTCCTGTTCTTATTAATCTCTTCTCATATGGCAGCTGCTCCATACCCTTAATCATTTTTGTTATTCTTTTCTGAACTTTTCCAGTGCCAAAGTAGTTTTTTGAGATAAGGAGAGCATATCTGCATGAAATATTCAAAATTGTCGTGAGAATCACAGGTCTCTCCATACCCTTAATCATTTTTGTTATTCTTTTCTGAACTTTTCCAGTGCCAAAGTAGTTTTTTGAGATAAGGAGAGCATATCTGCATGAAATATTCAAAATTGTCGTGAGAATCACAGGTCTGATGATGCATACCCAAGCGGGGGTAGGACAGAACCAGGTGGACAGTTTTAGCAAATAAAGGATATTTATTTATGACAGTGATGAATTTATAGTATTTATTCTAAGATTAATAGACTGTGTTAATAATGAATTTACATTATTTATTATATTTATTCTATGATTTCTAGTTAAATGTGTCAGCGATATAAGGATGGGAATGGCAAGGGGAATAGTCTCTATTCTAACAATATCCAGCTACACTAATTAAATAAGAGTGATAACTACAAACTCTATGTACTACCCAAAACAACTACAACACTAAGCTTATACAACAAAGAAAATCAAATAATACATACATTTCAAAGATATCGGTTCGGTTGTGAAGGCCTTCGTTACGCCCGAGAGTCAGGGGAGGTGGCTGGTCGGTTGATCAGGCCGGCAGCGCTTTGAAGTATACGGGAAGGCACACGTACGGTGGTACGTGTGTTGCGAAGACCTCCTAGAGCGAACTGTGCAATGGGTATTTATCCCCAAATCTGCACATCGCTTTCCTGTGCTTGCATATTACCATATATGGCCCAATGGTCACCAAGTGGGGGGTCTGTGTTCCAGGGGTTGGGCCGAAACTGTGCAGGTTTCATAAGACCAGGTAAGCTCCGCAGTTCTCACGCCAAGGTGACGGGTGGGAAAGTCTTAGGCTATTTTCCCCTTTTCATACCTTCCCTTTTTCTAAAGGCAATGGTATGCAGGAAGGGTGCGGCCGGTTTCTCCCAAGGAGTACTGCAGCCCACTATAGCAAGAGTGGCCTGGCCAAACTTTTTTTACTGGGGGAGCAGTTTTTTTCCTAACAAAAACGTGGGCATACCATGGATTTATGTAGAGACAATAAGATAGTCTGTTTTATTCTCTATCCCTTTTTTAATTATTCCTAACAAGATGGATGTTTTTAGAGAGCTATCCACAGTGACCCCAAGATCTCTTTCTTCAGTGATAAGGGCTAATTTAGTTCTCATCATTTTATACTATAATTGGGATTACGTTTTCCAATATACATTACTGTTTGTATTTATCAACATTAAAATTAATCTGCCATTTTGTTACCCAGTCACCTAGTTTTGTGAGATCCTTTTGAAGCTCTTTTTACAATCTGCTTTGGATTTAACTATCTTGAGCAGTTTTGTACCATCTGAAAATTTTGCTACCTCACTGTTTACCCTTTTCTCTAGATCATATATGAATATGTTGAATATGATTGGTCCCAGTTCAGGACACCACTAGTTACATCGCTCCATTCTGAAAACTAATAATTTATTCCTACCCTTTGTTTCCTGTCTTTTTAACCAGTTATGGATGACTCCTTACTCATAATGTATCTTGTCAAAGGCTTTCTGGAAATCTAAGTACACTATATCCACTGGATCCCCTTTGTCCACATGCTTATTGACCACTTTAAGGAATTGTAGTTTGTTAATATTCAAAATTAAACTTTTTAATTTAGTAAAATTATTAGATAATTATATTATGTAGTAGTTATAATTTAAAACAGCAAATGTTGCCCAGTCAGAGAGGCTGTGTCTAGACTGGCAAGTTTTTCCGCAAAAGCACCTGCTTTTGCGGAAAAACTATTCCCTGGTTTGACTAGCATACAAGGAGATACAATGACTTGCCCAAGATCTTAATTATAAATTTATCCATCTCCACAGAAATCAAAGGGAGTCCTTCCATTTCTCGCAATAGGAGTTGGACTGGGTCAGTAAGTCAGTCAGTGTTTGTGCCTAGAATGCAAGGGGCTTTTGCTCTGAACAGTAGAGTATGCTATGGCTGTTATAATGAATAAACTATCTGGCTATGTCTAGACTGGAATGATTTTCTGAAAATGCTTTTAACGGAAAAGTTTTCCGTTAAAAGCATTTTCAGAAAATCATTCCAGTCTAGACATAGCCAGATAGTTTATTCATTATAACAGCCATAGCATACTCTACTGTTCAGAGCAAAAGCCCCTTGCATTCTAGGCACAAACACTGACTGACTTACTGACCCAGTCCAACTCCTATTGCGAGAAATGGAAGGACTCCCTTTGATTTCTGTGGAGATGGATAAATTTATAATTAAGATCTTGGGCAAGTCATTGTATCTCCTTGTATGCTAGTCAAACCAGGGAATAGTTTTGCATTCCTTGTATATTCATAGTTTCAGAGTAAGTTTTAGATGCACAAAGAATGAGGGATCAAGACTTAGTTGTACAATAGCTGTACAATCAGATGAAAGTAAATTTAGGAAAAATTTATTTCCTTTTGGTAAGCATGTTATTTTGAGGCATTATCATTGGTAGATTTTCAAATACTGGATGATACAATTTTGCAGAAAATATTACAGATCAGAATTGGCTCTTGAGTATCTATAATTGAAGCTGTTTCATCCTTAAGTAAAACGAAACATCTATATTAAAATACACAAATGTAACTTTATTTTTAAAATGTCATTTCATTAGTACAAACTAGTATATAGAACACATATTTGGTGTGAATAGCCATTAACACGGTAAAGACTAAAAAAGTAAATTTGTGAGATGAATTATGCATAGATACATAGCAATTTTTACTCCACGTCCTTTTTTTTAACCTTTCATGAGGATTTATTTTAGTATTTCTGTTTTATTATAGAATTTCTTCACAGAAGTACTAACATTATAATATTAATATTTGTTGAGATTTTCATTTTGTTTAATTTCATATATTTCATATTCCCTCATCAACGTGTACACCTCACTACCATCACTTTTAATATGACTAAGTTTTTACATCAGTGGAGAACATATGTGCACATAAAGGGAAACTTCCAAATACAGGACTAGAGTTAAGCATGCACATTTATATTTAGGCACGTATATATGTGGCCGAACTTTTAGACATCCTAACTACACTCTACAGTTTTTAACTTAAAGCAAGCTCCTACATTTTGTCCAAAAAACTGCAGGATTTGACTTAATATTTGACGTCAGAGGATAATCACGCAAATCCCTTAATCCAATATTTGAGTATGATTCTTGAATGCAATACATGAGAATTTCACCTAAGGACAGTTATTTGTACATTAACATTTTTCTTTCAAACATCCAACAAGACTCACAAAACTTTAGTGATTAGTAGTAAACAAATATTCTGCAGCTAAAGTGAAACCACCTACTTTTTGTGGAATCTTCAGTAACAAATATTACTTTTGACCTTATTATGTGCATTACAGAAATATTACTAAAGTTTTGGAACCAAAATGTGACATATTAAATAGATATTGTTGAATCTGTTGGGGGAAGATCTTCCAGATCTTAAATATCTGAAGGTTGTATCTACTGTACAAATCTACCACTCCATTCCAGATAAATTAATACATTAACAGTAACATAGTAAAAATGTGTTTTTAAACAATAACATCCCAATTTTTTGTGTTTATTTAAAACATTAGATGTAAATGAGATTTTTCAAAAATAAAAGAAAAATATAGAAACGTGTATTTAAAGGCTTTTAAGAAGATATTACAAACAAATCAGAATTAAGACATATTAGAAGTATCCGACAGTTTCCTTGTAAAAGATGGGCTCAAAAGCAAGCTCTCAAATATAAAATCTTGAGCTATGAGAATGAGCTCAAATCCAGACCTTGTAAATGAATGGAACAAATATTCCACCTCCTAATTTAGGCCTATCTCTACCCTTTAGCCTCTATAGAATACAGAGTCAGGGACATTTAGATGATCTCTCTCTCACTCACTCACTCTCTCTAAGGACAGAATGGAATGCCTTATCTGTAATACATTGGACCTTTGTGGGGTGGAGATATTAGTACTAAATCATTAACAGACAATCTGATTCTGGGTCAAGACTTTATTGTGTTCTAGTTGACTCTTAACCAAAAAAAAAAAAAAAAAAAAAAAACCAAACCCACTTTGAAATAGGGTGACCTGATAACAAGTGTGAACAATCAGGACCTGGGGCAGGGGCTAATAGGGTACCTGTGTATGGAAAATGATACATGCAGAAGTGGAGGCCAGCAAGTGTACCCCAAAGCCGTATCTACCAGGCTTTGGTATAAAACTTCCCCCAAAATCTTGAAAACCTAGATTTTGGGAATAAAACCTCTGCTGCCACCATCCAGATATTAATAACGAGATCAGGGGAAAGATCATTTGGGAAATCTCATCCCTAAAATAAAAATCAGGCACACAATTAACCAATGCCAGGTTAATAAAAAGAAAAGAGAAACTTTTATTATTACAACAATATCCCTGTTGCAAGCATAATGATTAGATGGAAAGGTAACAAAATATACTCATGGAGGAATTACACCATGGGCTAGAACTTAGTTAAAAAGAAAAGCCAAACATATTTTAAGCAAAAAACAGAACTATGTAGCACTTTAAAGACTAACTAGTTGGTTTATTAGGTGATGAGCTTTCAATTGAATTATAATATCAAGAACAGATGTTTGTCCCTCTCTGTAGAGCTGCAGAGGAACCCCAGAGACAAAGGAGGGAAAAACCCAAATTCCTTTGTCCCAGTTTGAAAGTCCTACCTACATTCCTATTGGCCATTCCACCTGGCTAGGTGTAGTTAACCCCTTAATCCCCAGGCTGCTGGCTAACCCTCATAATCATGACATACCCTACCCTGTCCTTGGTCTTTCTCTTGTTTCTAATATATTTATAAAAAGTCTTCTTGTTTCCCTTGCCCCCCCCCCCAAATTATAGACGGTGCTGGACAGCCTCTGGTTACACTGGCTGTGATTTCTTCCTGGAGGTCTGAGATAAAACACAGTAAATACATTTATGCACACTTTACTAGACTATTTAAAACATGAAAAGTAAACAAAATGCTTCCATATCCATGGAATACCATAACAGATATACAGAAAGTATACTAAGTAATTGAGTCCAGAAAAGCCTCATTAACCAATCAAACTCTCAGTCTCAAAATCAAATTTAGAATAGCATGGGGTCTTGATCTAAAGTTCATTGACCAGGTTCTGTATCTCTTGAGAAATACACCAGGCCAGGTCTTGGCACCGCTGAGGGTGTCAGCTCAGGGTGAATTGCTTAAAATCCAGGCTACTTACCGCCTTCCACTGGGGTCCTTCCCCAGGCACCCCTCAAATTACACCGAGCACTTCAGCTGCCTCCCCAGCCAGCAGGAAGCCTCACCAACAAAACCCCTTAGACACTCCAGCTTCCCGGTGCCATCACCAGACTTAGGCCTCACACTAGTGAGAGGTTATAAAACCCACACTCACCAACTCCAAACAGATCCTCCTGGTCCAAAGGACTCAGCCACAGTTCCAAGCCAATTTTCACTTTAGATCTTACCCACAAGATCCCGCTGGGCCAATCCTTTAGAATCTAAACTCTAAAGATACATTAATAAAAGAAAGAAACTGTTGAGAGTAAGATTGTTAATGAGAACACTTGTCATACATCAATCACCCAGTGCTTGATGCAGGTGGTTAGCAAAGGTAATACAACTTCTAGCTTAATGGTCTTTAGTGTCAGACTCAGAGGGCCCTTTGATGTTTCCTGCTTCTTCCAGCTGGAGCTGGTCACAGGCAAGCAGTCCATTTTCATTGCTTCTGTCCAGATAGAAAAAAAATTAACATCCAAGAACAGAGTCCATTCCCTAACTTCATATACAACATCACACGTACACCAGTATCATATATAGAATCAGAAGAGGACAAGCTTTCATTTGACATCTTACATGGGCCCCTTTGCTCAGCATTTGAACCCAACACCTATTAGTGAAAATATTAAATTTATCCATTCCCGCTTTGGCAATGGTCTGAAATCCAATTAACACCAGTACAATGTATATATCCTTATTCCCCATAATGTAGGCCTCTTGGCACTTAGCCATGAAAACAAAAAATGTAGTCGTACCTCAGTTTCCCTTTATACATAGCACACCAATTTTGGCATTCCCCTTCTCAGGTGAGAAGCTCCAACACTAATTATAAGTATTAACAGTGAAATACCAGTGTCACAAGGCTTTTGAATATACAGTGTGTGCTTGGGTACATCTCTTAACAGTTTCCAGGGGTTTGGTACAAAATCATGCACAGTGGACATCGTTACAATTCTTAGTATCAGCAGCACAGTTTTATGAAAGTTAACATAAGAAGTAGGAACAAATCCATCCCAAGTGAACATAGACAATTCTGGCTTTTTAGATTTAAAAAGTTGCAGCCTTCCTGGGCAAACACAAGTCTTGCCCCTCCCCCATGCCCTGTGGGTTTAGGTTGTGAACTCCCTCTCTCACAGGTAGGCCTGGCTGGGTGTGGCTCCCCTGCTCACAATGGCTATGGAATTCCTTTGCTCCTCACAGGATCTTTCTAACCCCAAGTCACTTTTACCCTCCTCAGGCACAGCAACCTGCTGGCCAACCTCACCATAAGGATCCTCTTCCTTATGGCTTTCTGCAAACAAAAGCTCATCTTCCCCTGGCCCAACAGAAGCCTCACTCTGCTGAGCCACCACCAACTCCTCCTGTGATCCCTCTATCCCCTGAACAGGCAGGTCTTCACACAGCCCCCCCTTCAGGAAAACACACAGACTCCTCTGGGAGGAAATCAGAGACCTCTCCCTCCCCCTTCTGGGCTTTAGCTGTCCCCAGAGCTAAATCTGGGCCCACAGCTCTCTCCTCAGCCAATTCAGGCTGACAGGCACTTTCTGTAGACAAAGAACTGGGAAGAAACCCTTCCCCCACATGCATACCCGCCCCCCTCAGTGGCCAAACTGCCAGACTACACACACAGAGGTTGCTCATACGGAACACCCTCCAGAATTTGATCTTTTCCCCCAACTAAACTTTCACTCTGGCCAGCCACTCCAGACTGTTCCAGAGGGATACTTTCCTGCAATAGGGCAAGGAGAGCCCAAAAATCTGACCCCAGACTCACCTCTGAGGCTCCAGGCAGACATGCAGAGACCTCACTTGCAGATACTCAGCTAACTCCCTCAGGCAGATACTGAGAGAAACTTTTACCTTGCTCCCAGGACAGACTAGCCACTGTCAACTTCCCAGAGCCACCCTCACCCCATTCACAAACCTCATACATGTCCTGGGGCTGGATTAAGGTATCAGCCTGATTACCCATATTAGCCATGCTATAATCACACCCCTCCCCCCATGATTGTACACTGAACTCCTGGAAGGATACAGTCTCTGTTCTTTCATTTGTCTGGTCTCTGCCTTTATTTCTGCTAGTCTTGCCTGTGCTGCTGCTAGCCTTGCCTGGTATTCTCATTCATTGCGCTCACCCTTAGCTTCTATTGCTGCTAGCTTGGTCCGATGTTGTGCAGGGTTTGGGGTGTCTGGGTGTACAGCCTGAGTAGCCTTGCTACGCATGATCACTCCCACCCTCTTAGCTTGTTTTACATGGTTGGCCAAATCTTTCCCGACCAGCATAGGAATGGCGTAGTCATCATAGACTGCGAAAGTCCAAGTTCCAGACCAGCCCTTGTACTGAACTGGTAGCTTGGCTGTAGGCAGGTCGAATGGGTCGACCTTGAAGGGTTGAATGGTGACTAGAGTCTCTGGATCAATGGCTTTGGGGTCCACTAGAGAGTGGTGAATCACTGACACTTGTGCCCTGGTGTCTCTCCATGCAACAACCTCCCGTCCCCCCACTCTCACAGTCTCCCTCCACGCTGGGGGGATCAGTGAGGCATCTGGGCCTGAGGCTCCTTGTGGCAACCCCGGAGTCATGAGTTGTAGCCGGTTGGTGCTCTGGGGACAGTCGGCCTTTACATGCCCCGGTTCATTACATTTAAAGCATCGCATCACAGCTGTATCATTGGAACAGGGAGGCTCCCAGCAGATGGTATGGAGGAACGAGGAGAGATCTGGGGTCTCCCTGGGTGTGTATAGGGCCCTTCTCTGCGGGGTGGGGGTCGGGAGGATCCCCAGTTGTTGATGGCCCCCCTCAGACTGCTTTCCAGATTGCTGTGGCCCCTGAGTTCCATCCATCTGGCCCCAAGCACTGCTGCCTCTTTGAGGTTTTTTGGTTTTCTGTCCAGGATGTACCCTCTAATCTCTCCTGGAACATCCTCGAAGAACTGTTCCATCTGCATCAGGAGAGAGATTTCTTCCTGAGTGTGGGCCTTCTCTCCAGAGAGCCAGGTTTCCCAGTTTTTGAGTACACGACTAGCATGTTCGGGGAATGGTGTATTTGGGGTCCACTTGGAGGCCCTGAAGCGATACGGGCCTGTTCAGGAGTGAGTCCCATCCTGAGTCTGGCCTCCTGCTTAAACAGTTCATAATCATTTACCATGTCACCTGGCAGGTCAGCTGCTACCCCCAGTAAGGGACCAGTGATTTGTGATCTTAAGCCCATCATGTACTGACCAGGAGGAATATTGTACCCCTGGCAGGCCCTCTCAGAATTGAGGAAAAAGTCCTCGACATTATCCCCTAAAGTTGAGGAAAAAGTCCTTGACATTATCCCCTACTTAGTACATGGGAAGCTTTCTGTGGGGTTGAATGGTGATGGAGGTGGGGGTGTTGGGTGGGGTACCTGAGGTGTCCGGCTGCTTAGCTGTCCCCAGCGCAACTTGGGCCTCTAGTTCTGCTCACCTCATCTCCGCTGCTATCTCTGCCAGCTTCACCTCCTGTTGTATACACCTGGCCTCGTCCTTTCGTTGTATACACCTGGCCTCGGCCTCATCCTCTCGTTGTATATGCCTGGCCTCGGCCTCATCCTCTCATTGTATACGCCTGGCCTCAGCCTCCTCATTGTATATGCCTGTCCTCCAGCTGTAGGAAAAACTCGAACTCCTTTTCAGTTAGAGGCCTGCCGATCTTTATGGCATAATCGTACATAGAAGGCGCTGGTGGGGGGAGGGGGAGAGTGGCAGGGGGGCCCCCCCCCCCCAGATTACTTCCCCCTGGGCTCACAGAGGCATGCTCTTGTTTCCCCTCGGGGGGGAGGGGTTGATCTTTCCCGGTCAACTTAAAATCTTGCTTTGCTCTGATGCTTTTTCTGCCTCAGGGTGTTGCTTAGGAAGGATTGGTTTCTCTAGGGCTATCTTGCCCAATTGCAAGAGCATGTACTGGGCTCCTTCCCTGCCCTATTTTAGCCTAGCTATCCAGTTGTCACGAAAGCTATAAAAAAACAAACTGGTTGGGATGGTCTGTATCTGGCTTAAGCTTAACCTTCTGTCTGCCCCTCTGAGGCTGCACAGAAACAAAAGAAAAAAAAAACAAGAGAAAAAAACTGCAAAGCTTGCAACTCAGAAGAAAAACCTCTGTCCTTTTAAAAATCCTGTGTTCTCAAAATAATCCCACCGCTATGCCACCATGTCATGGCTCCTTCCCCACTCTGGCACGATAAATGCAGAAGTGGGGGCCCGCAAGTGTACCCCAAAGCCTTATCTACCAGGCTTTGGTATAAAACTTCCCCCAAAATCTTGAAAACCTAGATTTGGGAAATAAAACTTCCACTTCTACCAGCCAAATATTAATAACAAGATTAGGGGAAAGATCATTTGGGAAATCTCACCCCTAAAATAAAAATCAGGCACACAATTAACCAATGCCAGGTTAATAAAAAGAAGAGAGAAAACTTTTATTATTACAACAATATTCCTGTTGCAAGCATAATGATTAGATGGAAAGGTCAGAAAATATACTCATGGAGGAATTACACCATGGGCTAGAACTTGGTTAAAAAGAAAAGCCAAACATCTTTTAAGCAGTGCCAGATGTCAGGTCCCATACCCAACCCTTAAAACAATAAAGCCTAACAAATTTATCTAAACTTTACCCTACTTACAGGTAAAGTGAAGAATTGTTTCTTGGAGAGAGAGAGACATGTTTGTCCCTCTCTGTAGCTGCAGAGGAACTCCCAGAGACAAAGGAGGGAAAAACCCAAATTCCTTTGTTCCAGTTTGAAAGTCCTACCTACATTCCTATTGGCCACTCCACCTGGCTAGGTGTAGTAAACCCCTTAATCCCCAGGCTGCTGGCTAACCCTCATAATCATGACACCCTCTCTCTGCACCACAGTTTTACTTTCCACTTCAGACTCCAAGCACATCCAACTCCTTTTCATCAAATATTCCTAAAAAGTTTGCTTGACAAATATAAATTCCAATCTGGACAGTCAGCCCTTTCCCAAGATCCCTTCTGCATGGCCAGAGGGAAGTAGTGGCAGACAGAGCATACAACAGGAATGCTGTTTGGGTTTGTTTTGTTTTTTAAACCCTATAATCCCCTCCAGATGTTAATTTTGGAGAGGAAGAGAGGGGGGAAAACTTGTAAAGGAGAGTATTGAGGGTATGTCTCAAGGGGAAACTCATATATCACTTTGTGCTGTTCAGTACATTCCAAAGGTGACAATTTTGCAGCTCTTTCTCTGCCTTCTGCACTTTGACTCAGAGCACAGGTGAACAGATGGAAATGGCTAACATCTAGGTATTGGCGATTGTTCTCCCTGCTCCTCCCCTTCAGGAAACTATTGCAGTGGAGGCTGATAAGACGGGAAACAGGGTCAGGAATAAATAAAACTACTGAGTGCCAATTTACAGCATGGCACAAAGAAAGGGTCAAATGGGTGTCATATGAGCCTCTATAAGCATCAAATAGGAGACTTCACAGTTTTCCCAGAATTGTGAAAACACTTTCTTTTTTCCACTTCTCATTCTTTGCTACCACTGCATAATATATCAACCATGTGATTTTTACTGTTGCTTCCATTATGGCTTATGGGGCTTCTGTGAGCTGAGTGTTTGTGTTGTAAGGAGGCACCTGCTGTTGGGGTCTTCAGATGCCCGGGGGCTGCCCTGGTGAAAGATCACTTTGTATCTGAGTTAAATCAGGACAATGTATGCCTGATCGCTGGTTAAGCGTGTGCTGCAGCCTGGCAGGCAGCGTGCACTGCTGTCTCTGCACAGCGCTTGCTGGGGACAGAGGGAAAGCCTCTTCCCCTCCGCCAGCCCAGAGTGAGCCTGTCGGGGAGGGGCTGAGCATGGGGGCAGGGCTGCCCACTGCAGTCCCTCTCACACAAGCAACGGCTGGGAGGAGAGAGAGGCACTACTCCGGCGGAGGGATACAGCCATACATATATAGCAGGGAGGTGCAGGATCACACCTACAGCATTTGTCAGGGGGAAGCCACTTGGAGGAGGTAGCAGCCGCAGCTCCTTCTCCCTTGCTCGAGCAGCCTGTGTAGCAGTAGCAGCCGCAGCCGCCCACCCCCGCACAATGGTAGGTAGCAAAGAATGGCGCGCTGCTGTGGCTGGTGGGTCGGACTGCGGGGCTGGTGTGACCAGGGAGCGCTGGCGCATCTGGATTTGCCGTCGCAGTGGGGATGGCTGGCGTGTGATGAGCTGCGGTCGCGAGGGGCTGGGGCAGCCGCGTGGCGTTGGGCTTGGAGCCGGTCTGCCCCTGCTTGCCCGCCCCGGGTGTGGTGGGGAGCTGGGAAAGGGGGAGCTAGGCTGGCTCAGCAGCGCGGGCTAGACTGCTGTGAGGCGAGACTGGGCAGCAGGACCCCCTGCCCGTTCCCCTCTGCCTCGTGGCCGCTGCCCCTTGCACCGCGCGGCGATGGACTGGCTGCCGGACGCTGCCTCCCGCGGCTGGGGCAGTCTAGGAAGCTGTTGCCCCGGAGGCTGCTGGCAGTGCCTGCCTCACTCCCTTGCCCAGGGCTGGGGCCGGTCTCCCCGGCAGGGTGCCTGAGCTTCAGGGGGGGCTGGTTTGGATGCTGCCCCCCTCCAAGCCCGGAGCGGGCGGGCAGGGGGCTCTGCAGTGTGAGAGTGGCTGAGCCGCCACTGGGGCAGGAGGAGATGTGGGGGCCACTAGCTGTGGAGGGGCAGCGGCCAGATGTGGGTGCGTGCTTGGTCCCCTCCATTGCTGGGCTGGGTAAGCCTCCCGCCCAGGGTTCGCAGGGAGGCACTGGGTGAAGGTAACGATCCCAGTTCCCGCAGCCGCTGCGCTGTGCAGGGTGGCTGGGGTGGAGGAGGCGAGGTCTCTGCAGCTGCTGCGCTCTTACCCACCAACCCTTACACCAAAATCCTTTGCAGGCTGCATTACATCATGTCTCCTCCTCTCTCTCACCAGCCCCAGGAGGGTGAGACAGGGCCGCAGTGTGCGTCGTTTCCATTAGAAACTTTCCAGTTTCTGCCTGGGGTTAGTGGGAGGAGACCAGCATCTACAACCCTGGAGCCTTTATCTTTCCGGAGGGGGCCTGGCTTCCTCCCTGGAGACAGGGCTCTGAATGTGCTGATGGCTCATGAGGAGTGGCTGTTTGTGTGGCTCCCTCGGGGAGCTGTGAACTGAAGAGGATGGGCAGGCCTAGGGGCTGTTGGAGAGATTCCGCAGCTGAATTACGCTCTAATCAAAGGATGAGGGGGATGTTGGACAATAGCAAGTGCAGCAATGTGCTGCGGGGGCGGGGGCACTGCAGCAGTGGGTAGCGGCTGATCCCATGGCTTGGCAAGGAGAAGGCCCTGCTGTGCTTTAGAAGAAGAGGTGCTGGCCTTCTAGGATTTTCTTTCTTACAGTCTTGGAGTTTTAACATCCCTGCTATCCAAGTCTGCTTTAAAAGTGCATCAGTTCTGCATGGGCTGTGGGTTCTGCGGTTCTTCTCTAAACATGGAATTGCTGGACTGCAGCCCTGGACTCTTACGGACACTGAGTTGAGAAGGTGCTGGAACTGGGGGTGCTGCAGCACTCCCTAGCTTCAAGTGATTTCCATTAATAACACGGTTTATAGTTTGGTTCAGTGGCATTCAGCACCCTCACTGTACAAATTGTTCCCAGGCCCCAGAGTCTCCCACCCCTGACGCTTTTGCTGCTTATACCAATGGGGGAAGCTGGGCTGCAGATTGCCAAATGTGATTGTGGGCCATGTTAGGTGTTCCCCACTCCACCCCCTCCACTTTCCCCTTCCTGTAGAGAGAAGGCTGAGATCACTGGGACAGGATTTTATGACTTGGCTGGGTGGGGTGACTTCTCTGGTGTTGGGTACCGTTGTCGTGGTAGCTAGGGTGACTACACCATGTTTGTGCCTGTTGCTTAGGAGGGTGAACTGGATATTGTGAAAGGTCAGATTATTAAAATAAACAAATGCTGCTTGAAGATCAGAATATTGTAAGTTTGAAATTGTAGGGGATTCAAACTGGAGCTGTGGCTGAGGTTTTTTTTCTCTCCAAGGTGTGGCTATTTCCTGTTCTGCAGGCCATTGCTCTGATATGTCATGCTATGTAAATGACTTTTTTCCGTTTCACTTACTGAAAGAGAATCTCTCTACTGGGACTCTAATGAGAAGGATGGTGGCTATACAAACTAGGCTGTGGCCTACAAACGTCCTTGGTTATGTTTTTAAAGGGTCTTTTAAACATATACCAAAGCTTCCTCCATAGGTGGCCCCAATTAGTGATTGAAGAAATTATTTCTACTTAATTATTTTATAAGATCTGTAAAATAAGTCTAACTACAGATGGAAGTGGTTTGATGTGCATATATATATAAATGTTTCAGTCCTTCAACCCTGTGTAACAAATATCATACAGCTTATCTCACATCAGCAGTTGATACAATTTATTCAAAAGAGCTACTTCACTGTAGCTAACTGCACCAGACTTCCTTATTATTGTCTCCTGAAGTTCCAGGAGACATTATAAACATCTTGGTAGCTTTCCTTAATGATCAGTTAAACTTTGTTATACTGTCGTTTCTCAATTTGGTGTGGAAATGATTAAATTAAACAATGGATTTTAAAAGCAAGAAACCAAATATGATTAATCTAGTACCACAGCATCCTCTGAAAATACTAAAACCAATTGGGTGTGGATTTAAAAAAATGGCTTTTTTTGTTATCAAAAGATTATGATAATTTAGGGTCTCTAAACAGTTCTCTGGCACTTTTTCTCCATTGACATTGAACCTAATCTTCCCCTTCCTTCCAAAATCATGTATTTGTGTGGGTTTTTTTTTTTTTTAAAGGACTGTTTGGTCCCTAAACACAGCTTATTTCAGACATACCGGTGGTCTTGCAACACCTTGTTTAAGTACAATAAATGTCACGAACCTAAGAAATTGTAGCTTAATGAGGACCTTTCATTGCATGGTAACATTCCTACCTAATTGAACAATTACTCTCTCTAAATGAGATGTTGACGGTGTAATTATGAGAACATGGTGTAAGTCCAAATCTTGCAATTGTGGTACTGTCAATCACAAGCTAAACTGTGTAATGTTTGTGATGGTGTATCTCCAGGGAACATTCTGGTTATGTTGAATCACTAGGTGGCGTACTTCTCACTGGCTCACTAGTGAACCAATACCACTGTATAGTAGTAGGAGCTGTGTACTAGTAAAACTGTTTTTCACATTAGGAGAGCACTGTGCATCTGCAGAAATGATCCATGAATATCCACATCTGTGGATGTAGATACCAGTGGATATGAAGCGTAGAGTACTACAAATCCATGGAGATCCAGATTAGATCAGCAGCTCGAATAACAAACACTTGTAGTCACGGAGTTTGGGTGTCTTCCCCCTGGAATTCTCGTGAGTTTGAGATGGGGATAGGGATCTCCGTTGTGCTTTGAACTTGGGGCTTATTGGATTTTCCATAAACTTGATCTGGCTATGGCATTCTTAGCTTTCCTTAAAATGTGTGGCATCTCTTTGCTGCATTAGCTATTACACTGATCCTGAGATGTTGTGGTGACCTATTTGAGGATGGCATCATTCTTTTGTGTATTGAGTGTGTCTGAATTTCTGAGGGTTTAAAAGATCTAGAAATATAATTACATTAAACTTTCTTACAAAGAAAGTATCTGTATTGCATCTCCATGGCTTGACAGATCTATAGGAAAACAGTTTTTTCTAAAATACTTTCTACTCTTTATGTAGGCTGATCAGCTGACTGAAGAACAGATTGCTGGTAAGTATCCCAGTTACTAAATATTCCAAAGAAACTTTTCTTATCTCCTCTGAATGTTAGAAAAATATCTCTACACTGAAGGATGTTCTCCCCTGAGCTTGTATATTGCTTGTCAAGCAACATAGGCAATCTGCATTAAGTCTCTAAAAGAGGGGCGGGGAACCTTTTTGGATTGGGAAGCTGTTGACCCACTGAAAAATCAGTCAGGCCTACAAAAGTGAAGTCGTCCCCCCCCCCCCCCCCCAAAAAAACCAACTTCACTGATGTGGCCCCAAATGAGAAGAAAGACACTCCTCACATTTTCCTTGCCCACCAGAGCATAGGGGGTCCCCACCTAATAGATTTTGTGTGCTCCAACCCTGCAGCGGGGCAGCAGGGGGCTGGAGCACCAGTGCAAGTTCCCCAATGCTGGGAGGGATCTGAGCC